TATTTAATACTCCAAAATGTTGTCCTGATTCAGATTTTCGGAGAACACTACGGTGACAGAACTGGAAAAACCTAACTTAGTTTGATTGTATAATGGCAGCACCTTTTCCTGATTGTTCATTTGTTCTATATTCCATTGCAGAATGTTGAACTCCTGGCCTGTTATCCCGAGAGCAAATGTTATTGAGAAAGGATGTTTTTGTCATTTTAGACTTTGTGTGTAATAGCAATTCCTTTTCCTGATTGTTATGCATTAAGTTCATTTTCTCCATTAGAGAAGCTTGGATTGAGAATGTCTAATTTAGGGTATGCAACTCAGGAATATAGTCCATACTGTGAGTTTCACTTCTTAATTGACTAAAACTGAGTTGTTTTGAATTAAATTAGGTATTATTTGATAGTTACTTAATGTGCTTAGTCCACTATCTACTCAAATATGACTGGCACAGGGGGTTCTCTCCTTTTATCGATTTTGTTGAGAGTAGTGATATGATACAACGAGAAACTTAAGCAGATGGGTATTTCTATATTTGGATAAATATTTATAGTGAATGAGGCTTGATTGAATCTCAGAAACCGACTATTTGTCACATGTAGGCTTTATCTACTTATAAAAAATTAGTATTGAGACATGATCTTTAAGAATTTGAATTGATGATTCTTCAGAATATGATACAAGGATACATATGTATAAAGGTAAAGGGTAACTATATCGTAAATATAAACTAAGAATAAGGCTAAACGAGAGAGATCTCTTATCTTATGGAATCTAATAAAGACGAATATACAAGAAAGGAACTAGAGTTCATTTGAAGGATTTGCAAGGACTCTTGAGGTGATTGTGTAGAGCATTCCACGGATCATGCTTGTGACCTAATAATATGTTTGGATCAATTTCTGTGTTAATTAAATAACAGACTAACTTTCCTTATGTGTGTATAACTTCAGGCTCAAACAAAGGATGGTTTCTTGTTAGGGCTTCAACGCGTGTCATCAGGCATTCTAAATTTGGGAGCACAAACCGCACCTCCAGTTTTACTCCTACATGGACTCTTTATGGTGACTTCACCACAAATTCTTAATTTACAACTTTAATAATTATGGAATATGAACATTAAATCATAACTATATTACAAAATAAACTACATTTTAATCAGGGTGGTGATGCTTGGTTTATGGATTCGCCAAATGAATCATTGGGTTTTATCCTTGCGGACCGTGGTTTTGATGTTTGGGTTGGAAATATCCGTGGAACAAAATGGAGCCATGCCCATGAATCTTTATCAAATAGAGACAAGGTAACACATAGATTATGCTACATTTGTATACACTTTTAGTCATTAATTTCAAATATATGCTAATTGCTTTTATTTTTGGGCTTGATTTAGGAGTTTTGGGATTGGAGTTGGGA